GTTATTGCGTGTGAGTCCGGTTTCGTTTTGAGGAGTTCCGTCCTGTTTATGAATGTATTTGGATGGAGTCCGAGTCGATTCTGGACTGCAACCCTGGCAGAGCCGTGGTAGCACGTTATTCACCAATCTTTAAGCAGAAGATCGCCACGGTGATGCTCACTGAAATATTCCAAACAACGAAGTTTCCTACAACAACTTCATGCGGCTTATTTCCAATCACGTTGCTCTACAACAGCTTCTAACAACACACAGACAAACACACACACACATACACACACATACACACACATACACACACACGCACATACACACACACACCACCTCCACTTTTTGAACTTCTGATGCCGCCTTATTCAAAGGAATGAGAAGTTGATGGTGTGGAAGCACTTTCAGTTCTGATATTACAGATACAAACGACTATCGCGAAGTCCTTTAGTGGGCATTCATCGTGTATTCCTTATATATCGTTCATGAGTTCACCGGGTACGTCTGACCTATCATGGGTAAAAAAGCGAACGTACTTAAAGTAGGGGTAAAATAGATGCCTCTAAGCCAAGAAAAAAGAGCAATGTACGCACTACTGGCTATCCTTTCTACCAAATGAATAGTAGGGCGCCGTATTTTTATCACTTGTGTCAGCGAAATGTTCCACGTTCACGAAGTCCAGAGTGCCCAAGAAAACATGTATTCTGCTTCCACATGTTGTACCCTTCAATCACCAGCGTTTTTGATGAATGGATCCTTTTCTTCAAGAAGCCCTCAGCCAAAGGAAATCTCGTATTTCAATAATCGGTGTAGAGATGGGTTCCTTAATCCAGCAAACCGTACTATAACTATACTGTTCGCCAAATCTCCAGTTGCAGAAGGGCAGATTCCACTACACACAAAAATTCTGTAGGTCTAGCTGAATCAAGCCACCTCTACAGCACAGTTTGAACATGAGCCTGTACCTGAGCCACCTACGTGGTATATTGTGACGAAAAAGTCTACCTTCAAACGGAAACAAGACAACCCTTTTCTCAAAATTAGTAATGAAGAACTCGCAAAAATCTGTCAATTCTGTGCGCGGGACCAGAGACAAGCCTGGTTGATTGTGGTCGGGGATCCAGATTTCACAATTGGGAGACTACTCATTATTGAAATTATTCTTCTACTTCGTTCTCTTTCCACAAATCATCTTCGCCAGAATTTTCGACAAAAACCACAAGAAGCTCAGCGATTTGCACCTCCTTTACAACTTCTTTTTTAAAGCCTTTATTAATCAGAAGTCTGTTGAGGTCGACATTGAAGTCAACGTCAGTTGACATGAATGTGAAGATAGGCGAAAAAGAACGTCAGAAAAGAAAGCAAGAAATCGATGGAAGAAGTATAAAACGACAATAATACCACTAGGAGACGCTTATGCGGATCTTCCAGAATACTCCTTAACAGTGATAGAACAGTAACTCCAATTTCTTCGACAAAAATCAACGACACTCCGACCACGTCATTGATGTTGCCAATATTTGAACCTATTAACTGATCTTCACTTCTAATTCATAACTGCCTAAAGAGAGCTACACCTGCCAACAAACACAATTCAGCTCATAGTGGAATTTAGCAACACACATCGAAATTACAGGATCGGGAGATCCACAACTTGTAAGTTTTTTGTCCATTTACGATAAAATTTCTACATATTTTTGAAGTTTGAGTTTTACATAAACATCAAATAAAAATAAAAGTTTAGGGAACTTGTGACTTTTGCCTCCTCCACAATCACGTAATTTTACCAACTTCGCATGTTCTCCAGCTGCAGAAAATTGTTGAGAGTCATTAGAAAATTGGAATCGTCCTCGATGTAGAGCACACAAATTCCAAGTTTTGACTAGTAATTCGTCACGAATGAACGGATAACCACAATGCAATAAACTTGGGAAGTAAATTCCCTCCAAATCCTAATCGTAGTGTGTTTGGACGGTGAATTTATTAGAAAGAAAAAGTGTTACGTGTAGTAATAACATTTAAGAAATGGATGAATTAAGCAAACACCTTGCTATTACTCTGTGATGTTCTCAACCCCGTCAGACCCCTAGTTATCGAAATTTTATCGTTTCTTATCGAAAAGCAAGCATTTCCATGTTTAAATAACGGACGAGTTCAACGCTTTTTCAGCCTCCATGAGAAAAACGGCGGTCACTTGAGCTTTTATTTGATACAGTTTTCACTTGCAGTGATTCCCGCAACCAAGTTTCTATTAACCTCAGCACTGATCAAATAATTCTCGACAGTTCTCACTAATGAACTCGGCAGAAGTAACATTGTTCCTACGATGATTGGAACCTGTAAAAATCTCTCAAAAGCCACTTTACGACACTAATTCCGTTGCAGTTTAAAAGGAAAAAGGTATTTATTTGGAAGCCTTGCGATACCAATACTGCGCTGGCAAGGACCAAGCAAAATTTCAGAAAGAAAATGGTTACAAGTCACAAAAAATCGACTTACTAGTTTCACGGAAGGCGTGAACATTTTTTTGGCTGAGTGAATTTACAACCGAGTCAGTGAATTCCGTATCGGATTACAACGGTGACGAGGATTGCTTTCGCCTTACTCGGTCAACACGACGACGAGAACAGCCATTCGACTACATGAGGATCAATCTGAGTCACTCGATGCTATGCTAGTAGAGTTGCTGTGGTCGACTTCACTTAGTATTACAGCGGAAAGGTGAAGAGTGGACGATCAAACCCGTCATCAGTGCGCACAACTGCTCATCCTGCTAGGAGCGATTGCTGCCCGTCACGTTGGTAGAAATCCAATCCCGATGTTCTCGCCCCCGTCTTATACGCATTTCTCATAGAACCGTTTCACAAAAGGTTTTATAACTCTTGAATTGAATTTTAGCACAAATTTTCCCTGAAATTTGCACTACTACGGATTTCTACCAATCAGACTATATTGAATAACAACATAAAAGCCTATTATATTACTAGAACAAATTTATGACGAAACGAAAAATCCTCAAGCAGCAGCCGAACTCACACGCAAAAACCTGAAGGAGTTTCGTGGATGATGGATGCGAGGAAACGAATTGAATGAAAGAAGTGCTGGGATCCGCATAGAAGATGTGAAAGACGGGTTGCTAAAACAATAGGAGAAACCTTACCTATAGAAAGGCCTAGTCAATTTAGTCTTGCCTGCGATAGAGACAATTTTAAAATTTGCCGGCAATCGAGTCACTCGACGATCCATGGGACGACGATATGAGTGATAAAAAAGGATAAAGCTCTCGGCGTTTATCAATCCCTTAAAGATGCGCCATGCACTCGAGTTAATTAAGCATCGTTTGGAGGTGACTGAATGCGTATCTGGCCTTTACAGTGACTCGCGGTGGTCAAACGATGTATCGAGCTAGTGCTGCTATCCTCCGAGACAAGTCTGGTGCCAATTTTCCGCCCCTGGAGGGATGGAAGCCTTGGTGGGCTAGGGGCGAGGAGATCGATCCTATGTGTGTGTGTTGCAGGGCACTTCCGACCACTGCGCCACACGCGCCCATATGGGTGATTGAAGGAATAAGTAAATTAGGGAACATAGTGCAAAATGAAGAAATAAAACAAAACAAATGAAAACTATACAGCGAATCCCAGAACCGACTCACTTCTAACCTCGGCGTTGATCAATAATACACTTTTTGATGAGCAAACACGAGGTTCTTGACAGCAAGATTTATTCGAAGCAATACTTGCCGAACCTTCGGCGATTTCGTCTTCTTTAGAGCTGAGAAGAGCCAAAATGATAGGCTATCCAGAAAATCAAGCACTCTCATAATGTAAGCAGAGAAAACTTAATACATAAATTACTGGCATAGTAAACATCTTCTCATAAACGGTCACCGTTTCGTTGTTCTTAAGTCCTCTATTTATTACTGGAAAACAGTAACATACACGGGTAAGAAATGTGAGTGGCCCTGTTAAAAAAAACCGATCTGAGACATGGCGAGAGACCACACGTGATCACAAAGCACTCCTCGTTGTGGTTCGGTTTCGGATTTTTAGAGTATATCCAGAACGCTTTAAGACTTTTAAGCGCTGAACTTTTAGATTCCTATGCGAGGATTATGATGTCAGCGTCTCCAGAGTCTCACATGGGCGAGATCTGAGCCAGGCACATTTCTCACGCATGTAAGACTCTCTGCGGCTGGGCTCCAATAATAACTGGAAGACTTAAGGACAACAATCGGTTAGCGTTTAAGAGAAGCTGTTCACTATGTCAGTAATCATTTATGTATTAGATTTTCTCTGTTGAGGTTATAAGTGTTTGGCTGAGCGAAAAACTATATAATTAACTGTAGTCGAAATCACAATGTTAACATTAGGGAAGCACCTCGTGCTTGCTGAACAGAAGTATAAAGATATATTCAATCAATGCCGAGGTTAATAGAAAGTCGGACTTGGGAGTTACTACGATGTTAACATTTTATTTACTGCCTATTATAAATATTACAACTAGTTGAGAGACAAGCGAAACGAAGGACCCGCATGGTGTGGTGGTGAACGCATTAGCACCCGGAAAGAGTAATAGTGTGCTTGGTCCCCATCCCAGACACCAGTCGTCCAGAGTTTTGCAAATATCTCAGCATCATTGTGGTTATATAATTAGCTGTTTGGAATGACAGAATGCATAGCTAACAGGCTCCCCATTCAGTTCTTTATTATCTTCCAATGTAATACAAAGGCGAACGTTTAAAAGAAATCGAGCTAGAACGAGCCAACGACCAAGCGTGTAATGTTACAGGGCATCTGTGACCACAGTTCTTCCCGTGTACTATCATGTTGATAAACAACTTCAAACTTCATGTACTCAGTCACCTCTCAGAATTCGTAATTTGTAATTTTAATTTGTTGATCACCTTAATTTCTCTTGTGATATAAGCAATGAAAACAGTGCTAAAAGTGATAAGTCTTTAATCATTCGGCATATAAGAAGAATGCAAGCGGTAGACTCATTTATCTAACGCTCATATGGCTTTGTACGGTCATCCACAATCAATCGTGATAGATTCAGATGGTGGAAATAAATTTTACACGCTCATCAATTCTGGAATGACCGACCTCGTCTACAAAGTCAGGTCGTCCAATAATGCAGACTACAGATTCAAAAGCGTTTATGGCATCATCAAAGCTGGAAGTACTGCTACCATCGAAGTGATTCGTTCGGTACGTGGGTTATTTACAGTGCTGATTATTTTCTTGGGTTCAAAAAACAGTTTGATAATACAACCACAACGTTGCTGAGATATTTGCAAAACTCTGGACCGCAGGTGTCTATGGTGGGGAACGAACGCGCTATTGTCCTTTCCGGGGAGTAACGCGTTCACCACCACACCATGCGGGTCCTTTGTTTCGCACGTCTCTCAGCTATTTCTATCGATCTTTTTTGCCACAGCAATCACCCGTCAGCGGGGTTGATCTGGGGAGCGCAAATCGGCATAGAACCCAGTTAAGCTATGGCTGTAGTTGAAATCACAATGTTTAACGTTTTGTTTTCTGCCTTCTATAATTTTCATGGCAGGTTACTAAGTAAGCGAAATACAACCACAACGTGGCAAAAAAGATCGATAGAAATAGCTGAGAGACGTGCGAAACAAAGGACCCGCATGGTGTGGTGGTGAACGCGTTACTCCCCGGAAAGGACAATAGCGCGTTCGTTCCCCACCATAGACACCTGCGGTCCAGAGTTTTGCAAATATCTCAGCAACGTTGTGGTTGTATTTCGCTTACTTAGTAACCTGCCATGAAAATTATAGAAGGCAGAAAACAAAACGTTAAACAGTTTGATAATAAATCGAGAGACAAGCTTAGCTTTGTGTATTAAAGATGGTCTGCCCATTGGTGACTCCCAAAAGTATGATAACATACGACTACTAGACAGCCAGTTCTACTCAACATATTCGAATGCATTAAATGAAGCTCGCTTACTAAATGAAGCTTGCCAACTATTCAATATTCACTGTGTTGAACAAGACCTTCATCGTATTCAGGTCACACGACACAATCTCTCTCTCACTCTAAAGATAATTCTCTTTAATACTATTAATTTACTATACTATACTAATTCACCAGTGCATCCGTTTCTATCGCCTGTGTCAGAACTGCTCCGTGGGTTACCTCAACTTACAGAACATTCCAGCTTCTTGGAAAGACTAACTAGAGGTTTATTGTCTTTGTACTACGCAGTTTACATTCCGCGAAACCCATCCGCTACTTGTCGCGCTCCGTTCTTACTGTTGTGAAGAATCACTCCTTTAGGAACACCATTACTCCTCTTGATATTGTTTGACTCTCACAACCTAGTTCAAATGATAACAGTTTGGGAACTTTTCGGTGGTCATGAATGCTCTCGAAAAAACTCATTTCTGCTTTAACAGAATTAGACCAAGTAGCACTAAAGGTCGCTGCTAGGCTTCCATTCCTAGATGGTGGGAAGAAAACCGCCCGTAATACAGCAGCGATACTTAGTGGCTGAACACAATGAACGCAATGCGCTCTTGTCGGAAGCTGAAGAATTACAATGCGTTATCTTCTTGGCTCTGCCAAAGTGTAGAGATTTTTGAGCTAAAATATTTCTCGAAAATGTAGTCACTGAATTTTTTCACTAAGGGTGAAGAAGGGAAATCATTGTCAAAATTTTTTTGCAGAAAGCACCTCCGAAAAGCGACCGCTTCATTGTGCAGTACGGCGTGTTGCCGATTGGCGTCACAGATCCGCAGCAGGCTTGTGCTGATTTCAAGCCGATAGGAGCCATAACCGTTGGCCTATATGCTATGCCATGAATGCCGTGTGAAAATATTTTGAAGTCCA